TTTTCCTTCCCATCTCATGGCTGGGTTGCTGTTTTGATGTGTACACTGCTCATTTAATTTCTTTAATGAGAGGGTTGTGGTGAGCTAAGACCTTTAGTGATGTCTTCTTTGAAGCACAGAGACAAAAGACGACTGTGAAGAATAGTCTGTAATCAACTAGTGAAAACGCCAGCCTGCCAACTGTGTTAGGGGGTTTGACTTCTGCCTTAGCATCACTACCAGCTCAGGACTTGTGCCACCAGACTGAGTCATAATTTCCTCACTGATGCTGATGTTCATAAACTGGTTCAGATGAAACCAACTTGAATCTTTACCCATGGCTTAAATGGAACCCCAACATTATATCCTGAGCTCAGACTAAATCCAGGACCTTTGTTCCCGAGGTCACCACATCCCTGCACCTTCCCTGGAGCTAAGTGAACAGTCAGAGCTAGTCAAATCCCCTTCTCCCAGTTTTACTCATTGGTAACCAACACACGAGCTTTCAACCAGAGCTCAATATGTCTCCCCAAAATGTTTACGAAGAGCTTGAACTGAAGCCCTGAGCCTTCTTCCAGTAGTGGAACTAAACTCCAAGTGTTTGGTGAAATCAGCAGCAGTTAGTCAGCTCTTCCTTGAACAGGTATCCTGCCCTTGCATCTCCTGCTTGCAGAAGACATGAAAGCCTCAGGCCATTGTGTGAATGCCCATCTGCTCATCATGAAGTCCAAAACCTAGCAAATACAGGAAATCTCCCAATAAATCCTGTTCTCATGAGATTTCTCGCCTGATCTCTACACTAGCATGGGGTGGAGAAATTCCATGCAACTGTGGGTACCCATAGGATTGAGGGAACAAACCAACACCAGTAACTTGGAGGTTCCATTTTGTTCCATGCAGAGAAAACCAGATATCCCAATTAGTCCATGCTTCTAGAACATGCACACCTGCATTGCAAAGGCTGTTAGCAGCCTTTTCAGGGAGATTTCTACTTCCCGCCATTCAGATTCCCATTGTGTCATAGAGTAGACCCTAAAGGGCTGAGTGCTTTACTGTAGCTAGTTTCTGCTAGGTGAAGCAAACAGATTGAGGTGCAAATGAATCTGTTGCTGGCTTCCTGATCCTAGAGCTGGTTTTCTTCCTGCCCCATCACAGCTTAAATGTCTAAGCTGGCCTCCTGGGATAGCCATCAGCTGGAGATTGCTGGAGTAGTGTGCTCTAGCCACACTATTCCCCACCTCTCGCATGCCAAGAGCTGCACAGACAATACTTCCGAAGCCAGCTACATGCCCATCTTGTGACACAGCTGGCTAGGAGAGTTCTGTGGATTTTTGCAACATTTTAAGCAGCAGTGAAATCATTTTCTCAACCTCTTTCCCACCCAGATCCCATTCCTCAGCCATTTGATTTGTTGGGAATAGAAAACAGAATAGGTTTTCACCCATTCAGATAGCAGTTCCCTGAATGGTTTGATCCTGCAGCTCTAAGTAGCAGCTCAGAGTTGCACTTCTAGCTATGGGGGAAAGGTGAATGTGAGTATAACTAGATGTCCACGTCCCCCAAAGCCACTTATTTCTTTGCTTGAATTGAGCTGCAGTACACATGTTCTTAAGCACCAGCAATGGAAATGTTCACCTGTGTGCAGAGCACTGTTCTCCAACTACACACACAGCTCAGAGATGTCCCTTTAATTTTTGCCATTGGAGTCCAGTTCTCTGGAGAAGACTTACTCACTGTTTTCACAGCATTTGCCCCTGTCATTCAACATGATTTTCCCAGTGAAAGTCTCCCCTGATTCCCCTTCTGCTTTGATACAGCCAAAGTCTTTTTCAGTATTTTCTCCTCCATTCTTTTATAATATTTTTCTTCTTTGGGCCCAATACCATGAGGGGTAAAGCATCTGTCTCACCCACCGGTGTGAGTAGAATTTGAGGTCAGTCATAAATGACTAGGGGGAGAAAGTAATGTAAATGGAACTTATTTAGAACATCACTACAAACTGCTTAACTTTCTACTACTGCAAATCAGGCCTGTACACTCAGTTTCCCTATATACAAAATGGGTATAATTCCTCCGTACCTCTCAGAGGGATTTTGAGATTTAATTACTGTTTGGAAAGCGCATGACTGAGGTGGAAGTTATCATGGAATGGCAGATTCCTTAATTACTATGGGTATGTCTACACTGCATTCCTCTTTAAAGAGAGGAATGCAAATGCAGACAAACAAAATTGCAAATGAAGCGCAGATTTGAATTTCCCGTGCTTTATTTGCATAATCACGTCCAGCCGCTATTTCGAAATACCCTATTTCGAGATAAAAAATGCCGTGTAGACGCGGTTATTTTGAAAGAAGGGGTTTACAATTTTGTTCGTCTGCATTTGCATTCCTCTCTCGAAAGAGGAACGCAAAGTAGACATATATGAGTCCAAACACTTTTCTGTCTGACATATCACTCTTGTGACCCAGCATTCCTGTAAACCAAATGAAATTAGAATGAAACTAGAACAGGTTACTCTCATGTTGCTCTCATGAGTCCATTTTTATATTGCTGTCCTTAGTCGTCCCTAGCGTGGAGGGGCATGTGTAGCATAGTGAAGTATCACATCTATGTTCCTGCTATATTACACTGCATACTTAGATACCAGAATAACCACTCCAGTACGAGTGCTGGCAAATAACCATCCATCCTATGAACCTTTCTAAGGATCCTAATTCTAAGAGGCTCCAGGTTCTCGCTGGCAGGCTCTGAGCATCTTGAATTGCCATTTGCTTCCGTGAAAATGATAAGCACTCAGCACCTCACAGGCTCAGATCCTAAGTCTTTATTCAGACAAAATGTTCCCTGGAAGTTTTGGCTGAGTAAAGGCTGCACGCCTGGATCCTGTCCCATCTGCAGTGATATAACTACAAGTGCATCCTTTTAAGGAGGCTGTTTCATAGCAAAAGAACTGGGGATAATTAGGAGCTGGACAGCAAGGACAATTCCAGCAGTTCCTCCTGTGCTTCAAGAAGGAAAGGGGACTCTTTGCAGGGAGTCTCAGTGATATTCAGTGGAATTTACCATGTAGGTCTGGAGTCCAGGTACCAATTACTTTGTTTAGTCCTTGGCACTGATTTAAATGATGACCCCAGGTGCAGAGCAGTGGTGCACTGTGCCTCAGGACCGTAGTGGGGATCTGTCGCAATCCCAGGCTCATGCTGAGTGTTGTAAAGCTGTTAGGATGTTGCAGCCAGTGAAAGACACAGTTCAGTTAAAGACATACCCTCTCCCTTCTTGTCCCCCTGCTTCATCTCCCCCCTACTCCCTCCTTTCCCCACCCCTTCTTTTTTGTTTTTCTCCTTCCCTTGTTTTCACCCATTCACTGTCAGGAAGGGCCGCATCCGAAGGGCCAATGCAGCGCAGCGTGGCAGCGGCAGAGACTAGCACGACCAGCAGCTAAAACAGTGAGTGGATTTCAACTCCCGGGGGCAGTTTGAAGGCTGGGGAGTTGTATGGATCGAGCATGTGATGGCTTCTGGGGCTGGCGTGGGACTGGCCTGCCATAGTGCCCATGGCAGTGGAGGGGGACCCCAGCCCTCGTGCGGGAGGGGAACAGAACCTACTCCCACACGAACTTCGTACATACAGACAGCCTCTCAGTGGAGCTGAAGCAGGTTCACAATAAGGCATGTGCTGTGCTAAGTACCTGCCTGTCTTTGGAACGCTCTCCCCATTGCTCTCAGGGAGCAGGGAGGGCTCTAGCAGCTTATGTCTGTCACCAGAACCGCAGGCTAGTGTGAATGTAGATCCAGCGTGAACAGACGACGTAAGGGATGTCAGCAGACATGTGGCAGCAGTTACACAGGCTTCACCCCAAAGACAATTTTGCTGTTTTCTTGCATGTCAGTGCAGTAAACAGATGGCACCGCAAGGCATGGATGGAATGAGTGTAAGAGCTGATGCTATTTGTCTCCTCTACCCTGAAGGCCGTGCCCTGAAGCCAATGGGGCCCGTACCTAGGGACCCCAGCCAGCTCAGAGGTCCAGGAAAAATGGGCACCCCTGTGCATTGACCCACTCCACCCACCAGGGGCTCCTGCCAGGGAGCAGGAGCAGGGCATGCAGAAGGGCAGAGGCAGTGTGGCCCAACTGCCGAGTGCTTTCTGGAGGCTGTAGGTCCACCCCTCCAGTGCCTGGCTCAGGTTCTCTGCCCCAGGTGGGGAAAGTTAGCACAGCTCCGTGACAGGGAGCTCCATCCTGCAGCTAAATCAGAGGGCTGAGCTAGACCCCGGCAGCTGCAGGGAGCCCAAGGCAGAAGCCAACTGGAAGGCCTACTGCCCCCTTACCCTCAAACCAGGATAGGATTAAAGGGACAGCTCAGGGAAGCTACAGCTAGCTGGAGCGAGCAGAACAGGCTCTGCAGAGCTGAGATGGGGCTGCTTACTGGAGTTGATAGCATGACCAGGAGGGGTTATGGACTAAGCCGATCCGGTGAACACTGGGCTCCTGGACAGAGGTGCTCCAGCCAGGCAAGCAGAGCACGGCGAGCCCCCACACCCTGCCTCCATTTCCCCAGCAGCAGGATTGCCCAGGGGTGGGCGGGGAAGGCCCACTTGCTCTGGCCCCACAAAAACCATAATCTGTCTTTGCTTGAAAGGAGCCTTTTTAACTGTATTGCCCCCTGTGCGCTCACAATACTGTTTGTCTTTTCACATTCTCGTGACTGCACAAGTGCAGACGTCAGTCCCAGCAAGGCATAGTAACATGGAAGGATGTAAAAAGTTGTTTTAAAGGGTAACCTTGTAACTGCTAAAAATCCTAGTGGTCACATGGTTACGCACGCTGCGGGCTGCCTGGGAGCCGGACTGGTGTCTCCTGCTGGCCCCACTCCCGAGGAGTCAGCGTGTAACCTGCAGTGGGGGGCCAAGCCGGGCCCAGCACAGACGGGGGTTGCTCTGGCTGGTTGGCTGGAGCAGCCCCTACCTGCAGGGCCGGCCCACAACATTTTGGCACTTGAGGTGGGGAGCTCAAATGACGCCCTCATGCCCCCTCATTTGGGCCAAAACTTTGAAAAGTCTCAACTCTGCCTCCTTCCTGTTTTTGCTCCTCTCATGGGATTGCTCTGCTACCTACACAATATTCTACACTCTGGGTCCTAGCGACACCCCCCCTCACAGTCTGGCACCTGAGGCGGTGAAGTGGCCGCCTCGGTTTGCCTCATGGTAAGGCCAGCCCTGCCTACCTGCAGTGGGCTTAGCGGGGCTGGAGCACTCCCTAGTAACATGTGTCTTCTCTGTAGTTCCTTTCCTGTAAAGCCTCTGCCAACTGTGAGCCTAATCTTGGTAACACTGGCCCCTGGACTGCCAGGAATAATACCCATGAACGTGAATGGGGCCAATCACTCTAGAAAGTGCTATCCCAAATACTTTTTGCACGATCAGGCTCCATAGAAATGCAGCACCCCACCGAGAGCGGACACGTTTGGGACAAGTGAACACAACCATACTGGTATGCGCTTGCATGTCCTGTGTTCAGGGCCGGACAGAGGCATGGGCGAGCTGGGCAGCTGCCCAGGGCACCAACCAATGGGGGGTGCCTGATGGCCGCTGTAAGGGGCACATGGCGTCCCTTACAGCGGCCATCAGGCGCCGCGCACCCAGCTCCCGCAGCACCAGCCCTCCCATGGCGCCGGCCAGCAACGCTGTTCCTCCCACGGCCGTGGGGCCCTACACGGCCCAGCTTGTGCACCAGCAGCAACAGCCAGGTCGGACTGGGCCGCCCGTGTGCCGTGTGCCCCGGGGGAGGGCCCCAGGCTGAGCGCCAGTGGCCGTAGCCAGGCCGCACATGCGCCGTGCACCCCGGGGGCGAGCCCGCTCCCCATAGGCGGGCCTGCGCATGCACCATGAGCTCGGGGGCGGTGCCACATGCCCATGCCCGGGGCACCAGAATGCCTTGGGCCGGCCCTTCCCGTGTTAGCGTGGCATCCCAAACACCCTCACACATTCTTCCTTTGGCTGCACTGTCATTGCAAATGGCTCTGTGCTCATAATTGTACTAACCATCTGCACATCGGTTGCTTTTCTTTTATTGATTTTGTTTTCCAGTGGTAATAACATGCAAATGAACAGATTCCCTTGTCATATCTCATGCCATTGAATAATGCAGCCATTCAATAATATCAACATATTGGCAAATACAAAGAACAAGCTATTCTGAGTATTGGGGGAAGGGGAGGGGTGTTTGCTTAGGGCACATGTACACTACACAGCTTTTAGCAACAAGGCATTGTCAACACAGCCCTGTCACTACAAGTTAGTACTTGTGAACAGTTTGTCGGCATGTTTGCTGACAAGGTATTTCTATCCCCCAACAAGTGGGTTTTGCTTTGTCGGCAGGAGATTCCAGTCACCTCCAGTGTCCCTTCCTGTGACCAGATCTGAGAATTATCGCCTCCTTTCCCCATCTAGCACTGTCTTCTGGGGGTCCCTCATAGTGTAACCCCTCTCACTTGACTAACAATGCTCCTTCTTCATGACTCAGCCCTGCAGCCAGGTCACTAGATAGTCCTCCACCTCCAGGGCAGGAAAGTCCCAGCAGACAATGACCACGTGCCATTTTGGGCAGCCTTCTGTTTTAACTCCAGGTCCTTGGCAGCTTTGCCAGTGGCCGGTAGGGGAACCCAGGCCCACTCACTGTTCCAGGTTCCAGCCCTGGGACCCTGGGACTAGCAACATAAATCTGCTCAGTCTGAGGCTCTGTTGCTGTCCCTCGGCTCCTTCCTGCCCCATTTCTCTAGCTCAGTGGCGGACAATCTTCAGTCCAAGAGCTGCATGCAGCCCAGCAGAGTTCTGTGTGTGGCCCACAAGACGTTTTGTTTACCATTGCCCGGCCCCGGGGCTGCCAGGTTCTCCTGGTTTTCATCCAGGTCGGGTTTTTTCCTACTTGTATTGCAAAAGTGGCCCACATGTAAAGCAAGGGCACGTGAAGTGAGGTGCATGCTGATTGCACATGACACTGTGAGAGCCCTACGCTCCCTCTGCAGCCTATCAAAGTGCTGCTACTGTTCGGTCAGCACACAGCAAATTCTTGGTATAAAAGTGCAGTTAGTGAAACTGCCCTTTCCCAGGAGACTGTCTTGGCAATAACAATCTTGCAGCCCACTGAGATGAAGGAGAGTCACTTCTGCAGCCCACTCACTAGCCTAGGTTGCCACTCAGTGCTCTAGGTTCTTGCCTATCTCTGGATTTATCACCAGAGATTCCTCCACTCTCTCTGGCTACTTTACCCTTCTAAACCTCGCTATATTCCTAGTCCAGGGCAGAACCAATAGAGCTTTCTCTTCCTCCTAGATTGCCTCCTTGCCCCTGACAAACGTCATTCCTCTTTCAGCAGCAACTGATGACCTCATCCCCACAGCTTCCTTCTATTTGCACTGCCTGGCTTCCTATGGCTAGCCCAGCTCCTGGACTGCATCTGCCATTAGGCCTTATCAAGCCCTGTTTCCATACCAGATGCAGCATTGTAAATTAATGTGTCCCTTCTGACCCCCATCAACCCATTGAGGGCATGTGTGGCATAGACATCCCATCCCAGGTGCTCAGATATTATGGTGATGGGAGCCATATAAGTCACTTATGGTATGTCTACACTGCCACCCTAGTTTGAACTAGGGTGGCTAATGTAGGCATTGAAGCCCGGGATTTAAATATCCCAGGCTTTATTTGCATGTTGCTGGGCGCCGCCATTTTTAAATGCCCCATAGTTTGAACTACCTGCCTGCGGCTACACATGGCATGGACTAGGTAGTTCAAATTAAAGCTCATAATTCGAACTACCATTATTCCTCCTGAAAGGAGGGCATTTAAAAATGGCAGCGCCCAGCAACATGCAAATAAAGCCTGGGATATTTAAATCCCGGGCTTCATTTGCAAGTTCGAATGCCTACATTAGCCACCCTAGTTCGAACTAGGGTGGCAGTGTAGATGTACCCCTAGAGTCTTGGTTGAGAGTTGCACAGGGATATGTTGTCGGCAGAAACGCGCCACGTACCTTACGTGGAACTGGGTCTCTAGATCGCTCCAGGTGTGGTGAACTCAGAAAAGTCTCAGTGGTTTGGAAAAAAACAGCTGGAGCTGGAAAGAATCAACCTGTGCAAGGACCATGCCATGCTTCCTTACCCTTTCCCTTCCTGGCAAGTGCAGCACAGCATTGCCAGTACCAGGCAAGGAGATTCCTCTAGGTGCAACACAGCAGGATGTGGCCATGCCTGGTGAAGTTATGCAATTAGCCAGGCATTACACTACTTTAGGAGGTGAGAGAGACACACATGAATATGTAACAGGTGTCTTTCTGAACACACATCTCTCCCTTTCCTGTCTGCTTGCTGCCATCCAAACAGGATCTTCTTCTCTTAATTAGCTAATGTTTTATTGAACAGGAGGTACCTTGCTCCAGAAGCAAGAGGT